ATGTCAAGTTTGTCAACGAAAAAAATAAATAAAACTCACACAAAAAAAAACAACAACAAAACAAAAATTACAGTCCAATAAATTGAAATTTTGCGGTAAGAAACCTTCCCAATTGTGTACTTCCTAATTCAAGAAACGGTGCAGAGAGTAATTGCCTATTTCGTTTTGGAACAACACTTGTAATGTATCATAAAACGAAATAGACAAATTAGAAAATGAAAGAAGCATATTCATTATCTTTATCAGCGTGATATTTCAAATAAGGCTAGTACATAACGAAATTGTATTGTCCTACTTTTTTGTTTTGTCCCAATTCTTTTTTGAAGAATTTCAATTATGCTTAGTCAATAGTAACAAAGTAATAATTTTGCGCTCTTTTGTTAGATACTGCAATTTAACGCAAGGTCGTTATTCTACACTGACAATTCTAAGTAGGTAGACGTATTTCATTTGTTTATGCAAATATCGTAGATTCAAATATAAAACGATCTTGCCATGGGTAAACATGCTGATATTTAATTAACAAATTAGATGACATTAAAGAAATCGCTCTAATCCAATTAGCAAAATCTTCTGAGAACTATAATTGAAAACTAGACTAAATATTAGCTTTCAATATTTATAAAGAACCAGTTTGAAAGTCAATATTTACATATTAATGTTCAAATAAAGAAATCAATTCACACAAATGATTTTTCTAAATTACTAAAAAATTAAATTACAAGTTTGTATTTTGATATTGTCCTACCATTTGCGCGCAAATAATGGAGAAATACATATATTCATATAATTTTAATGACATGATGCCTATATTTTCTACGGTGGCACAAAGGTGACATGTGTGTGTTTTTATTTATTTCGTTTATTTATTTCGTGGCCACGAGACACTATGTCGTGGCCACGAGTTACTAAGTCATGGTCACGAGATAGCTAAATCGTGGCCACGAGATACTATGTCGTGGCCACGAGTTACTAAGTCATGGCCACGAGTTACTAAGTCGTGGCCACGAGATAGCTTAGTCGTGGCCACGAGATAAATAACCAATCAGTTTACACCATTTATATGAATTTCGAATTTCACTAATTACTAGACATGTGCTATATAGTGCAAGGATGCCCCTACTTCACCAGCCTGTAAAAGTGCCATTTATACAACTTATTGACTGGTCAATAATTTTACATTTAGCGTCACTGTGACTCTGAATTTTGACCCAATGACCTCGAAATTATTAGATGTCATCTCCCAATCAGGTGCAATGATCTGTCTGGGTTATATAAGCCATGGCTTATCCCTTCTAGATTATTCATCCGACAAGGATTTTAACTTATAGGCTATCTACTGTCCGGGGACAATGTCCCTTCCAAATAAAACAAGTAAAATGGTTTCCTGCGGGGAACATTTTTAATGATATAAAGATATTTCATTTCACTTATTGATAAATAAACGTTTGTATCAGGAATATAGTTGACAATAATCGATCAATATAGAAGAAAGTCTTTGGAAACTGGTGACCGTTAAAGACCTGAGACCGGAGAAGGTCGAACATAAAACAATTATTTCTTTTTAAGAAAATGATTAAATACCATTTTCTAAATAGTTCCGGGCAAAAAAAATAATAAAGTAAACACACAAGTTTACGCAGAAAAATATCTCTATTTAGTATGGCAGATGCCACTACGAATATTTAAATTTTGTAGATTTTCAGTATAAACAATTTATTGTTTGTAAAATTTGAGATAGATATTAAAGAAACATATATAATTTTTAAACACATCATTCAAGTTTTTCCACCTTAAACAATAAAATGATTATAGAAAATTAGAAATATCACGTAATAGTTTTTTGTTGTTAATTAGTTGTAATTCGGACTAATTCCCTAGGTAAATCCGTAACGTACCGGCAACCGGTATTTAGCTAGGTTTTCGAAAAAGTAAATTAACCAATCATGTACGGTTTACAGATCACATGCTCCTCCATGTACCGAAAACAGGTCACGTGCTCCTCCATGGCTCAAAAATTAAACGCGTACCAATAACCTGCGGTCTTAAGAATAAACCAGGACTTATTCCTTCTCATGTTATCGTATAAACAAGGTTAACAGGCCGAAGTACGTACAAACTGACAATAAAATTGTCCTAACAAAGAACTATTGTTTAAATTAATATCTGATGGGCCTTGGATGTGACTTTCTAATATGATCCTAAAAGTGAATATCTTCAGTATTTTCAAACATTAATGTTGCATGTATAAGTAAGTTGTTAAGTTTAAAAAAATCATAATGTATATAGTGTATTCTGATTGGTTAATTATCTCGTGGCCACGACTTAGCTATCTCGTTCCCACGACTTAGTAACTCGTGGACACGATATAGTATCTCGTGGCCGCAACTTAATAACTCGTGGCCACGACTAAGTAACACGTTGTTACGACATAGTATATCGTGGCAACGACATAGTATTTCGTGGCCATGACTTAGCTATATCGTGACCACGACTTAGTAACTCGTGGCCAAGACATGTATCTCGTGGCCACGACATAGCTATCTCGTGGCTACGACTTAGTAACTCGTGGCCACGACATAGTATCTCGTGGCCACGACTAAGCTATCTCGTGGCCACGTATTAGTAACTCGTGGCCACGTATTAGTAACTCGTGACCACGGCGTAGCTATCTCATGGCTAAGACTTAGTACCTCGTGTCCACGACATAGTATCTCGTGGCCACGAAATAGTATCTCGTGGCCAAGAGATAAAATAAAATACACACATGTCACCTTTGTGCCACCATAATTTTCTTAGTTTCCTTGAATATATTGATTATTCTCGCTTTTTGGTTCCAGGTAGTTGATACGTCCGTCAGCTTGCCAAATTAAAGAAATAATCATTTGTTCACAAGCAATCATGAACTCAACACGTGTATGCATCTTTTTCGCTTGTATATCTTTTATCGTTGGTCAAACTCTGAGGAGTATATTTACGGAACATTTTGTTATAGAAGATTACCGCTGTGGCAATGCGACACAAGTAGCATTTAATAAAAGTGCCATTTACCGGTATCTCAGGTGTGTTGGTGATTGCGGAAGAATGAGTTCCTGTATGAGTGTTCTATTCGATCTTGAGACCTTGTCGTGCATTGGTTGTAACAGTATCATAAGCATGGAAGACACAATAGAACATTCAACTTTGATGGCTTTTCAAAAACAAGGTAGGAATAATATATAGACAGCGATAAGTATTTTTTGCAAGACCAGGAGTGATATTCTCCTCACGTTTTACACATTACTTTTACATATCATTTATATCCGTAGCTGCTTAGTTCAATTATCGTACTTTCACTGGTATGATTATGAGGTGGCGAACGATAAATTGAGGAAATAACAGCTCAGAAAGCTGAAATGAAGACCACGTGGCCGAAAAAATTGCAATGTTCTGACACCAAAGGGGAATTATTTAAGCTGAACACTTACACTTGCTCGTAGGGTGTGTAGGTTAAACTTTGACAGAGATGTTATCCTGCGGTGAAACTATGATATTGTACACGTAACGTATTAAAACAGTATTTTCAAAAGATATTTTGTTTGTTTGTTTCATTTTACGCCTCTTCCAAACAGTATTTCAATCATATAGGCGGGTAGTTTCCTAACCATCGTTCCTGGAAAGTTACACCAGTACTACACTACCTTCCGCCGCGCTAAACTACCAAAGCATCTCCCGGGGATCGAACCCACGTCAGAGAGGTAACAGGACTAGAAGTCATCGACTCTAACCCCTCGACCACGGAGATGTGCGTGAAGTTAGCCAGACAGACGGAACAGCCGGAGTAGCCGGAACAAATTTTCGTTTAGTCTGTCTGTTCCAGCTGTCTGGCTAACTTCACGAACATACCAGGAGGCGGTACTTTCAAAAGATTTAACTATAAAACTTTTTCTGTGTAAATTATCTCAGATCTCGCTAGAAAATGAAAATTAAGAACAAACATTTCTATTGGCTAATGCTGCACAAATTGGTATGAGCCGGATCTAAATAAAGATGCTGAACCTAACTATAAGCAACAAAAAGATAAAAAGAAGGGAAGGAAATATTAAAAAAGCGGAAAAAGAACTATGTTAAGTATAAGGGTCCAACAACAAAACTTATTTTATGATTGATGACATTACATTTAGTGTTTACTAGGTGAAACCTTGTATATTCCATACCAGACTGAATATGCTTTTGCCGAAGACTAATTAAATGAAGTGAAATCTCTATTGATGTATTTTTCATTGAATTAAATAAATCAAGTTTGCAGATTGTGATTCTTTTTCTTTATAACTATATTTTCTTATATAGTGTATTAATACAGAAAACAAATGGCTCTAATATATATTTGACGAACTACATTTAGCGGTGATGTACACAGCATTTTAAAACTACTGAGCTTAATTCAGATATCTGAAAGATAATTGTATTCATTTTTACGATTGAGTCACATTCTTTGATCTAACAGAGCATCTTATTGAAATACATTTTATTTGCAGTCGGATTCACACCTACGCCGACAACAACGACTACGGCTCTTCCTGCATTCTCATGCCCGCCCGACGATTCTATTTTTAGAACAGTACAATTGTCCGATGGGGAGCATTTCACTTACAAGTAAACCATTTTATAATACATACTAAAATTTCAGTTATGTTACATGATTCGTCTTTATTTCAAATTTATCATCATATACAAATGTATATAAAAACATAGAAAATTGTGAAGAAACTCCACTGAGATTCTAAAGTCGAAACAACAACAAAAAATGAATTTCTTACAAAGATTCGTCGGGGCACTTAAAACAGAAATATATACAGACATATAAAATAATTGTCAAGATATGCACATAGATATAAATTTCAAAAATCGTATTTTCTTGCCATTCTTAGCCCGATTCGAGTGAAAAGCGTTGCATTTTGCTCAACTAAAATAAACTATGTGGGACAACATATGTTTTGTTCTTGGGGGACAAGTTGAAAATGAGTGTTGATACGTGTACATATTTACTCATTTGGTAAACATTGGTAAAATATAAAATTAAACTTGTAATTTAAAATAACTTTACATAAATTAAAAAACTTGAACACAAATCGTTCCAAAACTGTTTGTCTGAATTGAAAATTCTATATTTTGATTTAAATTAAGGTAAATCATACAACATTAAAATTGAAAATTAGCGATCGAAAAAGATTGGCCTGTGCAATATAATCTACATTAGTTACACAGTTTCACAACAATCTGTTATTTTTGACTTGTTGCTATCACCAATTTTATGTTGAAATCAGATTATTTTATACTAAATAATAAATAATTACCGGTATCAAAATCACTTCAGGCAAGCTCTAGTAGAGCATAACTATATTTTACAATGGCAGGGTGATCAAGACATTTGTGACACAGTGGGATGCTAAGGCAGCGTGTTACGCCCTTGGTGGATTCCTTGCTCGCGTGAAAACTGTTGCCCAAATGAACATGCTTCTGGATCTTGTCAAGAATTGTCCAGGTATGAAATATGCATTTTTTGTTTCCTGCCTTTGATTTGGAATCGTTTCCTGAAATTAATGACACTTTTCGTCCTTTCAATTTATATATACTTAAGATTTAATGTCTTTTGAGTTAAAGGGTAGTTCGGACTGGCCCTCTTTCAGTTTTAAGTATCTAACACTTTCAATTCATGCAGTTTTTGAGGTAGATGAGAAGTGACTTCAGTATATACTGGTAACGACGTCATTTGATGTATAGATTAGTAATTAACATAGTTATTTTTTAAGATAAAATAACATAGTGTTAGAAAAAAGAAAGTTAATATGTGATCTTGAACATATACAGCATACTCTTTGATAAAAAAGAGGTTTAACCCATCGAGTCGGTAGAGGTTGATTAACTTGGTGAAATAGATAGTTATATGATTATATAAATTCTTACGAATTCGGTCTTTTCAGATTTTACTTTTTAATTAAGATAGTTGAGAGAATTTCAGACAGTGTGTACGATAGACTAGTCCGATGGCAATCACGCAGTTTTTAATCTTCTTTAACAGGCTACAATGTTGCCGAATACTATGTTGATGGAAGCAATGCAAATGCTACAGATTATTATGCACCAGGGGCGTGGACGTTTGTGGACGGAGACCCAGTCCCAATGTCGGCAGACTTTTGGGGGCACGGATATCCAAATAACCCAGACATTACACACTGCTTACGTATGCAAAATATAACTGCAAATTACAAGTTGGATGACTGCGAATGTGCCCGTGTATGCTACTATATTTGTGAAAAATAGATAGATCACTAAGTAATACATGTATAAGTGATAACATGTTAATTGAAACAATTTTTTTTTTGTATCAGAGATGTTTAATGTTGGTATAATTTTTGGCCTGCAAAAATAATAAATATATATATATATATATATATATATATATATATATATATATATATATATATATATATATATATATATATATATATATGTAAGGCAATATTGACCTGAAACTCATTTATTCTCGTTAGTTACCGTAGTTGATTATGTCAGATTTCATTAATATATTTTAAAGTTATATGCAGCATTAGTGGATGAATCATTACTTTAATTGCTTGTGCCCTTTCTTTGAAAAAAAATCAAAACTTTGAAATATAGATGTGTATGTAATTTTATACAATGGGTGATTGGCATGTACAAAAACTTAGTAGTCAAGTTTCGCAAAATATAATAATTAAAAGAACTTAAAAAAATGTTTCATTACGATCCGAACCTACAACCTTCCATTTGAAACTCAAAGTCTAAACACCTTATCACTGAGGCTAGTTAGGCAAGTCTTCTGTCCGTTACTTTAAGTTATACATAAAACATGCATACCATATTGCCATACTTTACAATCCGTATGAATACTTTGGAATCCAACAGTCACCGACCAAAAAATGCATTGATGGCCACATGTCTCGGATCAATATTGTCAAACAATAACAGTACTGACATGGAAAACCTATCATGTCACGTTCTTCAAATCAAAACCAGTAATTTGTGTTGGATTGGAGAAGTTTTGTTACTATAGAATCAATGAGTATTGAGTATGTTTTACCGTAACATCCCTCCCATTGATATGCGTCCTCATGCGTAATTAATAACAAAATAAACCCTTAAAGCAGTTTTTATCAATATGCAAATTTTCATGGAATTGTTGAAAATGTATTGAAAATATGATATTGCTAAGTTATCAAATAAAGTAGTTTACACGTTGCAATCAAGGTAAATTGCCAAAAAAGCTATCAAAATGTGCAAAAATACCTATTATTGCGGTAGTCACGCAGCGGGAATATGGTGATAACCCTGCAAATAAGTCACATATAAATTATTTCTTGAATCTTCAATATTTTTACATTTTTTAAAATCTTAAGATATATTAATAAATTTTGATTTTCTTGAAATATTTTTTTTTCACCTGAAGACATGAAGCTTTAACCTGCAGCATTTGTGAAATGAATTTGACCTGCTTTTAATTTTAGACAGTCCATTCTAAGGCTAAAGGATTTCAATGTACGAGTACGTGTGTATAAATAAAAGGACACATCGGGATTTTATAGCAATATTAGCTTTGATTTACATTTTTATTGTGTTTAAGCAACTGTGAAATATATAATCTAATATATGTTTTCTTTGTTTTGCTTTATTTTTTCAAACTATAATACTGAGTATGACGAACTTTTTTAGAAGTAACAAATTCCGTTTCTTACCTCTGAATTTGACTTCTACAGCCTCAATTTTAGAACATTTCAGTATGAAGGAATATCGAGATAAACCATGGTGTTGTATAGTCAGCATTTAAGACTGGTCTTACTCTTTGGTGGTAGCAAGGGTATTCACTTGAGAGTTAGGGTAGGGTAACAGTTAATAATAGATATAAATGTAGATTTTCCACGGAAACTAACGGGGTTTCAACTCAAACACGAACTATAAATAAAGATTCCTGCGCGATAACCACTTGGCCATGTCGTGCCACTGTATTTGTTTATTTGCGTGGTATTTATGTTGTTGCTATCGTCCTCGTTTAATTTTTTTTAATTCATTGTTTTTTGTTGTTGTTTTTTTCTGTTATTATTTTGTTCAAATGCTGGTTATAGATTTTTCCTGATGTTTAATTCTCTTAAATGATTTTTCTTCTGTTTCTTTTTTCCTTATAGTGTCCTAGTTTTATTGTTTTATAATTCATGCTTTCATTTATATATCTTATCCCCTTAAAATCTCAATACAACACAACCGAATTACCCCAGTCCTATGATTGTCAGAACAAAAGTGAATAAACTAAGAGAAAAAATAAATTAAAGTCTCATGAAATATTTTTAGCAAAATAATATTGTTTTTATAAACTCCTGGAGGATTCTCGGAAGAGTTGTAACATAGAATGTCTCTGGTATTTTACACACATAAATATTGTACGCAAGCAGAATAAAATGTTTCAGAACAAAAATTTTGTACTGCTATTTTAAGTAGAGTTTTATCCATTTAGCAGTGATTGCGTGCATGTGTCATTCGCTTGGAAGGCACTTAACTACAATTTTTATTTCATACAAGCAATTTGCATTAAAGACTTTAAGAAAATACTGAAGCGTTTTCCCATGCCGATATATCTAGCTACATGTAGTTTATAGTTTATTAGTTTAGTAGTGTCTCATCCACATGTACACACACATAGTACAACTGACAATACATGTTTACAAATTGTCATCCTTAAAAAAGAATCATATGAGCCTATCATAGTTTGCTACATACATTTTACAGGTATCAAATTATACTATCTACATGTTAAAAGTTAGATTACCATTTCTCATACACATATAACTCTTTTAAAATAACCTTTCACAACTATAACACTGAAATAAAATATAAAACTAGCACTTTTATGTTGTTTGCAAAGTTATATAATTATGTTAGATTCGACTAAGGTATTTTTCTTTTCTTTTTTTTTTTTTTTTGCTTCAGAAAAAAAGAATTTATGTATGTTAAAAACATATATGTGTAAATAAAACAACCCATAGTATAGCATGTGAACTGGTATTACATAAATAGACACAAATAAATACATATTGTTATGAGCCATTGTGTTGCGATCTGAACTTAAATACTAATTGTCCAATTAAAATGCATGTTTAATTGTTAAGTTTTTTTGAAAACTATAAGCACATGGAATGCAATAAGGTATAGGCGACACAAATTCCCCAATTTGCGTAGGTTACAACAAGTCCTGTATGTAAGTATAAGGGGTAAACTATAGAAATACATGGAAAAAACTAATGTGAAACGATGAGTTAGGTCCTCGTATTGTCAGTGAGCGTAACCTAAAATATCACGTGATTTTCTACCGTTTTAAAAGGGATGTGACGGAACTGTAAATAATTTTTTCGAGATTAATGTTCCATTACATGTATGTTTGGACCTATAACTTTTGTGCAGAATTTCAGATCATAAGCTTTCTCCATTTTTTTTAAGTAATTTTCTGTTTATGAAAAATGACCAAAAATTGAAAAGCATTGCAACGCTTAACACACTAACTAATTAGGCTACGATAGCACATTAATACAATTATCAATTCATTTCTGACTTATCTACATTTCTTAAAAATTTTGCATGTCTTTCTCTCTTATAGTGCCCCAAATGTTCTATGTTAAAATTCCGATGTTATGTTTTTATGCTTTTGGAATATATTGGAGTTAAATAAAGTCACACTTGAGCTTTAAATCTATACTTTAAAATGTGCAAAAAAATTCTATCTTTAGACCAGTCACTCATCCCCACATCCAACCCACAAAAAGAGTTCATGTGTTATTTGGTTCAAAATTGCAGTTAATAACTTTAATGATGAAACTTTTTGTACAAGAGAGAGCGCTTTTGCTTCTGCACTAAAATTAAACTGGTCTGGGTATTGTTGTTGACAAGGGTGATAACTTGGCGAGGTGTGTATGCTCTGATGATTTCTTAATTACGAATATTTTACGGTGAATGGGACGCCTGGATGACAAAAAAATTGGTTATTTTTATTTGATGCTATCTAATATGATAATTTTCAAAGTATTTAACAAAATATTATAATGGCGTTAACTATCCGCTTTCCTATGGTCGTATGAAACCAGTTTTACAAATGTATATAGTCCGTGATTATGTTTACATTATTTACTATATCTATAAATAAAGAATGCATACATTAATTCATAACCTGCGGGAATATACGAAATCGTATATACAAAAGAGTCACAGTTGCAACGGTGGCGAGGGTAAATAAACCCAACACACACAAATGTGTAGTATTTTGAAACACAGTTTCTCTTCACTATTATTGTTAACGCGAGCATAATTTAAACTTTTATTTCTTTCATTTGAAGGTGAACTGTTGATAGAACAAAATGTATTTTATTTTCTATGTTTTGACGATATCTGTCTGTCTTTCTACCTGGATGTTTGAGGTCTCCGGAAATAAAGTTTTATTGATTTCTATGGATGGATTTCGATGGGATTATATAGAGCAGGTGGATACACCGAATTTTGATGCATTTGCTGTTAATGGTACAAGAGCCCAGTATATCAATGGCAGTTTTGTTACAAAAACATTTCCATCACATTTTACAATGGCAACAGGTAAGTAACCAAGACTTTTTTCAACTTCACATTTTTCAATGCAATATGTACAATTCTTGCATATAATAACGGCGATAGGTATTTATCAGTGTATTCAAGAATATATCTACACATCTTGTAATGCTGACTGCTGTTTCACCAAAGAGCGATCTTTACTGTTTTCAATAATGGTGACAGATATAATTAAAGGGGCTTCACTGAGGTTTTTTTAACATAACAGATATAATCAAAGGGTTTCACTGAGGATTTTTTGACATGACGGGACTGATTATTTTCAGATCGTTTGCTCGCTCCGGTGTTTCCAAAATAATTATAACCAAATGACATTAAATTAAAAAGCGTCGCAGCGCTTTTTTATTCAAATCGGGTGAGGAATTTCAAAAATATCTAAATAAATAAAATCATTTTTACAATATGATATTATGGTTTTATTACGCAACTATTTAAAATAGACAAAATTTTCAACACCAGGTATATTTTCTACTTTAAATAGTACTAGTAGTTTTCCTTCTTCTTTACCGCATGACTTCGTCTAATGAGATATTTTCTATAATTTTAATCTGATGCAGAAGATACAGTACACTTAAAAACAAGTCGCCAAATTTAAATCTTATATAACTTAGTTAAACTTTACGTTGAGTGTTTTATTTTTTCATGTTCACTTGAATAAATTTGTGTTTCTTGATTCAATACATTCGATTGTCTTTAAAAATACATATATCATTTTTTAATACAAGTTTAATACAAGAACACATCTGCGGATGTTTCTAAATTCAAAATTTTACTATTTCACGTTTAAATGTTGAATTCTGCTTAAGCCGGTGCTAGGGGGCGTGGACGGTAACTTGCACTTTCCAGTACCGTCCATGAACAGGCTCAATCAAACCGAGCCTGCAACATTTTCAATTTTGCCGTGTTGGGCTTTCTTTAGGGATTCTATATTTATCTGTTAAAAGAAATATTTATTTATTTCAGGTTTATATGAAGAAAGTCACGGAATCATAGCCAATAGTATGTATGATCCCGAATTTAATGAATATTTCAACAAAAGAAGCAAAGAAACAAAATGGTGGGACGGTGGAGAACCTCTTTGGATAACAGCACGAAAGCAGGGTCTTAAAAGCGCTGCTTACTTTTGGCCAGGGGACGAGGCCAAAATAAAGGGTTTGAGACCGAACATACACTTTAAATTTGACGGCACGATACCGTTCCGATCTCGTATTGACTCTGCTGTGCAATGGCTCTCGGATGATATAGATCTTGTAATGGTTTATCTTAGTGAACCGGACACTACTGGTCATCTCTTTGGACCAAACACACCGCAAGTGAGATCTAAAGTTAAAGAAATGGACGACCTCTTAGGATATATTGTTGATGCGTTTGATAAAGCAAGTTTATGGGACACTGTCAATGTCATAATCACAAGTGATCACGGCATGACGGAGGTAGACTATGCAAACAAACATGTTGACTTATCAAACTTTATTGACATGAATGTTGTAGATGCTATTCCAACAACAGGACCAACCGCTAATATCTTACCACGCGTAGATATGGAACAGGAAATAATTGATAACCTTACAAATGTACCTCATATTAAAGTGTACAGTAAAGATGATATCCCTGAACACTGGCATTATAAAGAACACAGGAGAATTTTACCAGTTCTGGTGGTTGCAGAGGAAGGATGGGTTGCGTTAAAGGTATACTTGATTTTACCTCTTATAATCATAATGTTGTTTACATTGTTGATAAAGATCCTGTAACACAATTTGTTATGGTTTAATATCATATCATAAATTTGATGCTCAAATTAAGATTTATCAATATTGAATGTTCCAAAAAGCATTATTTATAAAGATATTACCGAATTTAATATTTCATGTAAATAAAGGGAGGTACATGTAATTAGACATTTATTTTCTATAAAGTCTAAGTCAAATTTTCCTATATGAAAATAATGCCTATATTTTAATGATTACATTTAATGTGCACAAATATTTGCAGTACATATTTTATATATTCTTTAATGTTTGAAAATTGTTTTATAACCATAATTATATATACATATATATAAATTCACTTAAGTGTGGTATACAACCTCAGTTACAACACACAGGATCTTTAAGCTTTATTATTAACATATCGAGGTAGAGATTAATAAGATATATACATGTATAGATACATTATTAAACATTTGTCACAAGTTGATTCTTTATTATTTTAAAGACCTTATTTCATTGATTTGATTCTATTTGTGATATATGACACACGTGATATTGATAATTACAAGATTTGATTAATTCTAACAATCGATTTTGTATTATGCAGGGCCCGGAAGAATACAGCGAGCCGGACTTAGGAGCGCATGGGTATGATAACACCCTTTCGACGATGAAGCCAATATTTTATGCCAGGGGACCAAACATAAAGCAAGGATTTGAGTCGCTACCATTTAGTATCGTTGATATATACCCCCTAGTCTGCAAACTTCTTTGTCTAAAGCCTGCGCCTAACAACGGCACACTTGACAATACGAAATATTTTATTGTAAATGACAATTCAGAATCTTGCCCAAGAGTCACATCAAGTTCAAGTAGAAATTATTTACAAATATATATGTTAGCAATTTTATCTCTTTTTCTAATCAGCCCGATCAGAAATATCTTGTAAATAAAATGGCCGATGCAAATTGAGAAACACATGTAAAGGTGCGTTTTTGTAACGCAGCTTAATTGAATTTTTATATGATATTATTCTTTACATATTTAATTTTTCCATTCGTTTTCTATATATAAGTGTCAGAGGGCCTTTGAATAATATAATAACCATGATGACTGAAAGGTCCACTTACCGGATGAGCGGAAACTATGAAGGGGGGGGGGCACAATGACATTGTTTAACATAATCACGAAGGGATATTAAATTTTAGTTACATTTAACAATAACAATGTATTGCATTGCTTTACAATATCAATATAAGAAAGCCGGAAGCAAAACGAAAATTTGTTATTACTGAAATATTTTCATACATAGAATACAAAAAGACAGATTTTATCAGTGGTAAAATTTGAAATGGTGTATTACTGCAACTGAACATCGTCTATTAAACTATCAGATACATTGCGGACAAAATTTGCTTTACACAACTGGTATAACCATTGACGGTAACAAACCATGGATTTTATAGTTATAATTAAATTGTTTTTGTTAAAGCAGTCATGAAATTTTTTAAAATGTTAACAGCGCTTACTGTCCACTTAAGTAACCAAAAAAAGAAGTCACAATATTTAAATATATTCCTTAATCTTATGATTTATCTTGCAGTATTTATCAACAATATTGATACTGCGTGCATAACGCAGTAAAGACTATTTTTCCATGATTATTATAACCAATGTTTTAGTAAAAAAAAATAGATTTTAAGTATCGTAAAAATACTGTTTTTGTTCACTTGACAGTATTTTACTTTTAAAAAAGACATTTAGAAATTTTGATGAAAATCGGCTTGACGTTTTATTGATGTTATTAATGTTTTCGTTTACGATTATAGGAAAAGAAGCGTTGAGGTCGTCTAAATACCAATGTAAAAAAAAACATATGTATTGTCCCGATAAAAAAAAATTAATAAAAATCTTAATATATATATTAGTTAATTGGTGATTCTTAAATATATACTCAATAACTTTTTGCATATTTCTTGACCGATCATAAATACATTTATTTTTTCATTCGACTTTGTTGTATTGACGACTACGGCGCGTGAAATTATTTAATTTCTTTTTTTTAAACTAAAGGTAATAAAGGAAGCTAACAATGACGGTAACAGAAAGAAATATTCACCTATTCAACGAAGACAAGAAATGTCAACAGGTGTAAAGTCATGGGTGAACATTATCTAGTCATGGGTGAACATTTTGATATATCACACGCAATGGGATATGATATCTATTTAATTGTACTGGAAAAAGTCAAGAGTATAAAAATAGCATTTAAAAATAAAACCTTGTACCTGATATGCGCGAAAAGGCGGTATTGTTAGGGGGAGTGTTGGGGGATGGTGCAAAGAAAAATGATGTTACCATGCGGCATCACCCTATGCCTTCGTCAACTAATACTTAAAGCATTTAGCAAATGAGTCACGTAAAATGTAATCAAAGTATATAACATATGATGTCATTTAATCTTCCCTGGTCCATACTGATTTCTTGATGTTTTTGTATCCAGATTTGCTCGACAAGCTAAGCGGTAAAATAATAAATTCGAATATGTTAAATAAAAGAACCTGTTGTGTAAAAGTGCAAATGACTTTATATTGTTTTATGTAAGAAAAACCCGGTTATGACATTCAACTTCACACATTCACGAATGCACAACCTCGTAAAGTTGATATAGAGAATTAATGTTATTGAATTCGATAAACTCATGAGTTCATAAAGATGAAATTATTAAGGTGACAACAGACACTTTCCGTGGTACTCACATAAATGTCATTTAAACTAAGTTATTTTAGTAATAATTGTTATTTATTTAATCTTTGTGCATTAAATATCGATGATCATCATAAAAAATAACATATTTGAAAAAAATGCTTTTGTAAATGATTGATTTTGAATAAAAATCCTAAAATTTTAAATCGTCATATCAAAGTCATTTTTTATTTTTTTGTCATCAAACTTTTGGAAAATAACCATACTTATATTATCTGGGGAACCGTGTCTCAAATTTTTTCTATCTTTTCTCAAAAAAATATTACGTAACGTCAAACATTTTATGCGACTTTTTTCACCATACATATTACGTAATTAAAGATAATTAAGTCGCTGATTGAGCAAACAAAAATCCCTGACACGGTTCCCTCCGTAAATGAATTTCCTTTCATGTGCTTTAAACCGCATGTTAATTGCTTGATTATTAAAAAAGTTATGCCGATTCAAAGTTAGTCCGACCCGCATCAAACGAAGTGTCATAAATCGGCTGTTCTCTCTCGGACCCCTACGTTTCACGCTAAATAATTGCATAATACACAAATATCGCACCAGAGAGGGTCACAAGTTGCGGTAACATACTCTAACAACATTTTATGACCCAGTGACATCTGACCAATTAAAAAGCTGCTGATTAATATCAGTTTATAGCCGAAATTTCTTCAATTCTTAACGTGATTTACTGTCCGTCTGGTATCTGTCGCACATGTCACGTGACTATCGGTAAAATTTGAGGCACTCAGTGGGGGGAAATGGAACGCATTTGCGCACCGCTAGCGGGGTATTTAATTGTTTCCTTTTTGAAGTTTATTATTATTATCATCAGCATTATTATTGTATTATACCAGTGTCACTCTGCCTGTGTATTCATACATTATGTTACGTACATTGGCCGACAATTTCTTAATTTATAAAAAAGGCTAAATGTTGAGATATTCATAAAAGATGTACGGTAGTTGTACGATACATGTATTACGAGAAGTATGGACCAGTATGGACCTGTAATTCACGGATATATGGAACTACCGATTTCCCTCATTGATGCCTCAACAGGGGGCGGAGCGTTATCGATAATCGACAGGTTACGCGAATAGCAGATACAAATAGTATAGGTACCGTTTTAAAACGTTTAAAAACACATTTTTTGGACTAACTGCTTCCAAAATTAAATCACGAATGTGTTCAGAAAAGGTTGATAAATCTACTTAGCAAAAAATCTCATTTTAGGTATTTTCAGTGATAATTGACTCCGTTGTCACCTTAAAAAGGGATATGTCTACAATTAGCGCATTTTCTATTAACATTCCAAAACTTGATAAAAAAATAGAAATGTATCATTTGAATATATTGATAAATAGAAAATTAAAAAAATTGTTGATAAAGTTCCATATTAACATTTTTATCATGGATAATAATATTTTGTTCTATATTAATTGATTATATTCTATATAGATATATGTTATATCAAATTATCTATCACACACTTGCCAACAACATCCGTACATTATCTTAAGTGGTTTGTTGTTATATCTAAAGCTTAATACTATCAACATAATTATTAATTGTATTATAAAACTTTCATTATAGACCTATTCATTTTTATATACACCTTGTTATTCAATATGTTGTAATGAATCGTAAATTTGCGAAACTGACATCACGAATAAGGGAGTTATATTGATGAAATTATTCAATCGCAACTTTTCTATCATTTCCGTCAGTCTTCGAATAAGGTTATTATAGATAATAGCCGAGATATTCCGATTTGAAATGTCCTTATCGGAGGTTGTCGTTATCCTCGTCTTCGCGAAAAAATCTAAGTGATAAAAAGAGCATCGAACCACGAGGCTATCTGATTTGTACGAGGGGACAATATGAAACCCCGAGAAAAAGTAACCAATGAACGAGAATCTGAATACGATATTTCTCTCGCTTTCCCTTTCTCTTCCGTCACAATAAGTAAACCCCAGCAAAAATGAGCCAATCAATGGGCATGATCTAGAGTACGGGTAACTAATACCTGCACACTGTGCATGTATATACATACGATTTAACTCTGACACACTTTCAACAGAAAGGTCCCCAAACTGTGATACAATGTAGACCATAACGCAATCATTTTTAGGGGTTTGATATGATTCTTGTGTATGCTTGCTTAAAATAACAAGAGGTTGTTGTAAGACAATGAGCATTTTTCTGAAAATAATATATTTTTGGAGTTATGTCTCTTTTGAATCTTTGCCTAGATTGCCTTTTAAGTAGCCTAAAAATGATTTATATATGCCTGTTAATTTTAACACGGCAAAGAAAGTTATTGTTATTAGGCAAGACGCAATATACTGAAAACTGTATATTGGCTGTTTGCCCCCCTCCCTTTTTTTTTCTTCAGAATTGCTTATTGTTTGTAGCTACTTGAAGCTTGTAACACTTGATTATCATTGTAAGGTAAGATACATTATCTGAAAGCAGTACATTTAGTAGTTATTTCCCTTTAAATATATAGTCTTTATAACAATTGGTTATTTATTAGTGGTTACCTTTTTCAGACGAGACAAGCATTTACACACTATTTGGGATTCTTGTTTCAAAAAGAAATTACGACAATTTGTTTAGCAAATATACTTGCGTAAATTTGCAACTTCATACATAAAACGAAATGACATTATCCTATCGCATCGTGCTGGAATTACGTCACGAACAATGAAGGGAATAATAATTTCTTGCATAGCAGACTGGCGTTCCCGTGAGTGTTACCTATGCCGCAAATTTCATCTGGCATGGGGGCAGATGAGTCGCGTGCCATACATTTTATGAATGAACCACGTTTAAATGACACTATATAGAGGTGAGCTATGTGCTTATGATGACGTCATTTCCCCATTGTTATTAAAGTTGTAAATTCATACGCAATTGTAAGGAAAAAGTTATGGATGAAATGACATTAATGTCCATGAACAAATATCTTATTGAGGAAAACCATTTTAAACATTAAATATTGTGGGAGAAAATGCAAGATAAAATATCTGACATATGTTTGCGTTTCGGATCGGAAAATCCGTCCCTCGGGGACCCGCCCATGGGCTGTAACTATGCAAGCCACATTACTGCCCCATGGGTGGGGTCCCCTTGGGACGGATATTCCGATCTGAATCGCAACATATGACATATATTGTTAATCTGTCATATGTTGCGGTTCGGATCTGAATATCCTTACCGAGGGAACCCGCCCATTGGCGGGTTCAAGAGGGACGGGTATTCAGATCCGAATCGCAAACTTATGTCAGATATTTTTTTCTTACATATTTTACCATATTCCATTTTATTTTAAACTTTTTACCTTAACAAAACACTTATCAGTGAAAATTTATGCCATTACACCAGAACAACAGGTAGGAAAATAATGGTAAAATCAGGTCATCCCAAGCGTGCCTTTGTACAGCACGCGAATTATCTGTTACCCGACATGTCAGTTCCTTCCCCTTACACTATGTTATAAATATAGTAGTAGATGTAGACAGGAAACCAGACTGACGCTTGGTAAGCACTATTTTGTGAAGTTGCGTACCTTACATCATAAATGTGGTTTTTTCGTGAGTTTTCAGGTGTCATTAGACATGAAACACCAATAAAAGCCCACTTAAGTACAGAAAATCATTTAGACTATTAGATTTAGACTTTAGATTATTATTATTGTGCTTATGTCTTCTCTGTTTCAGACTTGATTTCTCCGGTATTATGGCTGTTAACTCTCCATGGTTTAGCGAGGTTAGCTGTCTGAATTTAATCAATATTACATTATTCGAACATTTTATACTTCAATATATATTGAATCATTTATCATTTTTATCTTACACAGTCTGCATGTTTTGTGATCAGGAAGTAAAAGAAATATAAACCTTTTGTCGAACTTAGAAAAAAGAAGAAAATGCTTATCAAAACGATCACATTTCGAGTGTTTTAGTGAATGATGACATGCTGTTAATTCAGATACGGTCCTTTTTATTGGTTACAGATTTATATCTTAGATAATACTACGTATTAAACAAGGAAATGCTTAATAAAAAATGCAACAGTTGATAATAGATAGCAAACCATGTAATAATGAACAACAATGTTCATTTTAAAACTATTCGTTTTGTAACGTTTGATTTATTCATAGATCTTTATGAAAATAAATTGTACAGGGTAATCAAATCTTAATACCGTTAATTAACACATTTTGACACAAGATATGAGAAATATCATTTATTTCGTTTTTTCATTATTATACGTGGACGTTAGTTTCAATGGGGATTTGGTGGCAGGAATCTGTACACTTTGTGAATGGGGACCGTGGTCAGATTGGTCTGACTGCAGTTTAACATGTGGTGGTGGGTATAGGACCAGGCAGAGAGGTATTTGTTGCATTATTGGAACAGATTGTGAAAAAGATTGTGGAAAAGAAAGTTCTGGATATAGTGAACTTGAAGAATGTAATACCAAATGCTTACTTGATGGAAAATATGTCACATCCAATTATTATTTGGGATATTGTATTTGCAGTGGTTTTTACGAAGGAATATGTTGTGATAAGCGTATGTTCATATGTGAAGTTTTTTTTCTTTCTTTTCCAACTAGTAATTTAATTTGCTTTATTTTCTATTCATATGCCATCTTGATTTACCATTACCATATAATATTGAAATAAAATGTATTTTCTTTTTTTTTATTTATCTATGTTTTTTTTATATTATTTTTTATGTTTTATTTAGAAGATAAATATAGTGGCTACAGTACAATAAAAGTAGTCTGACACAGAAAAATGATAAGAAAGGTAAAAAGATGCTCGATGGGGTACAAAGTTGATTTGGTATCATTTTTATGGTTTGATTGTGAACACAAGAATGAACTTATACGGTTTGATCCAATAATAATAATATATACTGTAACCCAACGAATATTCGCGACCAATTAATATTC